AGGGACACCACTTGTCACTGATCTCCATGCAGACATTGAGCAAAATAAGATGAAGTGTGAGCTGTGGTGCTAATCATAGACCAGTCACTCAACCCATAGGTGTCTGGTGCTGTCTGCCGTGCCTGAAGGTCCCTGCCTGGTCTCCAGCTGCCACTCCAAAGTAGCACAGATCTCCCTAAGGTCCTGTATCATATTTCTGAGCCCTGCACAGATATATAGCAAGTACTTGGGTGCCACAGGTGGTATTGGGTATGTTTGTGTGATCAAATACATGGAGCCATTAGCATGTCAGTTTTGAATTACAGAAATGAAATAATATCAAATATCTAATACTCCAAAGGAGCTTTTTAAAAATACTGACTTACTTGTCCATCACTACAATAAATTTATTTGCATTTTAATACGTTTATTTGTAGTTAGTGTGTACAAATACAAATCCTATATTCAGTAAAACCAGAACTTGTGCTTGCGAAGCAAGAAGCTGGTATTTTTAAGCTGGCTTCAATATTCCTAATAGCTGAATATGCTTTTTGTTAGGCCAGCTGATGGGTGCCATATATCATCAGATATAGTCTCCTACACGCTCCATGTTTGAAATAACAGAGAATTCCAAGGATTATGACCTTTTCTTCTTATATTTTATCTTTGAAATATGGATTGTGATTCTGGGCCCTCTGAAGTAACCAGAAAGCCATCTTTTGACACTAAGACATTTCCGGATCAGCCTGCTTCTCCTAGAGCCATGCAAAGAACGTCTGTTTTACTCACCTGGTTGTTCCAACTACTGTTCAGCTTTGGGGACAAATTTCAGCTCGCTCTTTATGTTCTGAATCTCTGACAAGTTGACAGCAGGACCTGGAAGTTTCTTAGCTCCTGGGAGATGCTTCTTGTCTTTCTCCTCCTCTGTCAAAGCAGGAACACTCTGCACAAAAGGATACCAGTGACCTTACTGCTGCGATAGCAATCTCTTGAGTATGAGCATAGGTCAGTTATTTGAGAAACAGGAAAGGATGTTTTTATACTAAATGCAATCCCAGTGGAAATGGGGGTGGGGGTGGGGAGGGGGCAGGAAGAGATAGGTTATTTTTTTGGTTGTTGTCTAAAATGTCTAAAAACAATCTGAAGAAAAAAAATTCAGTTGCTCAGTGCAGAGGAATGTGGATCTTCTGGTAAATGAGTAAGAATTTACAGTGTCAGACCATTAGTGGAAAATTAACTGAGTGGACCATTAAAGAGAACTCCCAGGTACTTCATATTTTAGGGGAAAAAAGCAGAAGAACCATTTTTATTATCTAATTTCTTTCAGAGTCTCATAGCTGCTGGCCAGTTGGGGAGGAAATCCATCATGCACTTCTGCAGCTCTGGAGAAGAGCTATGATAGTAGGTTATGGACCCTAAAAACTCCATTTGAGTTTAGTTCAAGTTGATGTTTAATTTTTCTTAACCTCAGTTGTAAGACCAGAAGGGGTTTTTGGCATTTTATGTTTGAATTAGGGTAGTGCCTGACAGCTATCTTGCTGACACTGTAAAAATTCAGGCTAAATAACACCACTTACACAATAGTGATCACCTCAGCTAATTTCCTGATGGACCACAATATTTCGGCCCTTGGTACTTTCTCAGTTGTACTATTGCTCCTAGGTGAGGTAGAGCATGCATTTTAGACAATTTCTATTCTAGACTGAGCAATGTTTTGAAGGAGCAGTTTTCCAGTGGGGAGTTTAAGGTTCATGCAGCCTGTTCTGTATTTTATAAAGCTGGCATAGAGGGGGAATCACATAGGTTTAGAGATGAATTAATACTTTACTGCAAATGATTTCACAATGAATTTTTTTTTTCTTTTTTGATTACTCTGTGAATGTCCCCTTGGGATGGCCTTTTTGGAGTTAATTCAGTATTTAGATTCATTAGCCACTCTTTCTGGAAAGTTGTATTGACCTTGAACATTCAATTTTTTATATTTGACTTAATTTTCAAAGTTACAAGGTTATCTGTCAAATATTATTGCCCAGTAAACCCCTCTTTTTTTCTGCTGACTAATGGACCACATGCTAATGAGGAAGCAGACTGGTTGCAATGTCAAGCAGCAAATAAACAAGGTATTTTAGAAAACTGAGATTTTCTTCCTATCTGATCTTTAAGCCATGAGCTTGTATTGTTCCCTTTGACAGTCTTATTGCACAGCTAGCTAATCCAAACAATCAGGGAAAACTACCATCCTCCAAACCCCTGCAGCAGATACTGTGTTAAAAATGATATTTCACATCATTTACAATACCACTCCTTCTCATAGTACAAACGGTGCAAACTGTGACCATGTTTTGGAGACTTTGTGCTCCATAAGTTGATGTTAGCTTTCCCTTCTAATCTCAGGTGTGTGCTATTTATGACTGCACCCCCCAACATCACCCACTCTGTGTGCAATGCACAGCTGAGATCAGACCTTGGCCTTCAGTTTTATTGAAGGAAGTCTGAAGAGTGACTTAGATATATGACAAGAGTTAACAAATACCTGCATGGATATGCTCTGACTGAAGAAGAGTTATTTTCTAAAATTCCCACCCCCCATTTCTTTTGGATGCTAACACGTCCGCTCCATTGACTTTCAGAAATATGTGTTCCCTTCTGACTCCACCATTCCTTTGAGTAAGACCCATATTTCCATTATCTCCTTTGCCAAGGTTTTAAAATATAGTGAAAGATGCTAAGCACTGTGAGCAAAAGCTGTATTGGTCTAAAGCTGATCTAAAGAATCACAAGCTATATTACAAAACCTGATGAGATGAGAAAGCTGAAAAGAAAAGTCCACTGGTAGCATTTTTATTCCATTCTTATTACAGGAAGAATTACATTCCTATTACAGAAGATCTGTTTCTGTAGTCTTTACTCCCATTGCTTTGGTTGCATATTGGCTATAAAACAGGGGCCATAATGTCTGTCTCATATATAGTATTCACATAACTGAGAAGCAAAGCAATATTCAATTACCCAACCAAATCTAATTATCAGCACTAGTAATTTATTTTATTTCTCAAATATTACCAGAATTCACACATGCTATATTAGTTTCTGCTTAATAACATGCAGTCCTTCACCAGTTTAATTACTGTGGAGGGAATATGCTTTGATTTCTTTCCAGAGGAGAAAGCCACAAATATGTGTTCAAGGTCATTTTGTATGTTTGGTTTTCGTTTTTTAAAATCTTCTTGAGAAGAGTTAAGTCAGCCTGGGTTTGATTTCTTCAGGAAAGTTCTCTGTAAACAGAGCACTATTTATATCAAATATGTTGAAATTCAGAAAAAAATCTGTCTGATTTAGGCAGAAAAGGAAGAAATAGCTCTTACATGACCAAACCTGAACTTTTTAAGTGCCTGTACCAGGTCAGAAGGAGCTGATGATTTGTCCAAAACTAAGCCGGCTGCTTCTTGTTTGGGGCTGAATCACCAGCAGTGCCACTGCATCCCTGGAGAGAAGTGGCTACCCACCTCCCTCCTGGTCCTCACGGCTCTGCTCTGCGTGAGGGCAAGACCCCCTCCAGCCACAACAGCTTTGCTTCACCCGCATGGCAGCAAGTCCACCCGGCTGAGTCCTGCTGCAGAAGCAGCCTGGCTGTATGGGGTGAATTTGAGCCCTTCCTGCCCTTGACTGTGGGGAGCATCCGCAGCTCTGGCCCAGCAGAACCTGTTCTTGGGTGGGGACTTATAAGATCAAACTTCACCAGCCATCCAGAAAGCCATAAGCACCCCTCTTTATTTGAGTTGTTTTCTTACTTGGAGTATCCCACTGCCTTTTCCTCCACCATTGGTTTTAGTTCTTATTTATTATAAAAGTTCACGGTAAATAAGATGCTTTAGTATCATCCAGAAATATGATACCTGTGTTTAATCATAGCTTTTGCGATCAGTGTTGGTTAAGGTATAAATTTGACTTCATATTCAAAACTCAGTGTTAAATACTCCCTGTAAAATACAGGCATGCAAACACAGAATTCAATCTAATCTGGAGTACTTTCACCCTTATGCAGGTAAATGGGGTCACAATTTCTGTTTTTAATTTGGAAATGTATAGTCTCCACATTCAATTTCTCCTTGTTGATAAATATTCCAAAAAAGTCAGGTCTGAAAGCCTGTTCCAACATTGTTAAGCTGGAACAATAAATCCCGCCGCAGGGCAGCAGGTAGCAGCATATTCTTCCAAAGCCTTGCTATAACTTTCCCTGATGTATTCCATCAACTCCCATCTAGGTAAATACCGCTGGTGAAATCCTGTCTCTTTCCTGACAGCAGATATTATCCTGCTGTTGAAGCAGAGCTACACACCTTTGAAACAGTTTAAATTCCTATAGGTGCCTTGGCATCAAAACCAGAACAATATATATTTGAAGTGTTTAGTAGGTAGCCAGTTACTTCCATGAATGATCAGTGCATGTTCAGCTGTGATACCTAAGATTGGTATGTAGTGCTATAAGATTGATTAAAAGGCTTTCTTTCATCAATGGCAGGGATTCTCCTGGGAAAAAAAAAAAATCAACTCCCCCTTTTTTCCTTACCTCCTCCACTTCTTCAGGTGTAAGTTCTTTTCTTTTATGAGGGTGGCCTGCACCAGGTCGAAATGCTCCCATTGGGATGTTAATATTAGCCTGTCACAAGGAAATTATGATGCATATAATAGTGACTGATAAATAAATACACAGCTGGTAAATGGCAAAATGCAAAAGGGGTGGGACAAGAGTATAGACATTATTGTGGTTTCCAAGCACTTATGCCTTCCATGTATGTATCATCACACCACTCCCATGGGAAAGGGAAATGCTTTCATCTCCATTTTAAAGAAGGAAAGTGAAAAAAGCAAAGCTACCTAGAAAGCTTTTGAAGTTCTGCATTTTAGTCTAATGCTCCCTGATTTCATTGGACTTTAAACGAATGAGTACCAGACACCGAAATTCCTTTAGGTATCTGGGTCTGCTTCGATTTGGTCAAGTAGAGTGCCAGAATAAGGATTTAAGTGTAAATCACCCAAATCCCACAATAACACCCAAACCACTGGACCACTCTCCCTCCCCCAAGTGACACCAGTTCTCACTTCACTTAATCACAAGTAGTTAGGAAGGAAAGCCTGTCCTGAGCCAACTTAAGCCATGAATGTTTAAGATGTGATTTTACTGACAAAATTTACCTATGGCTGCTACAAACTGCAAATGTAATGCCTTAGTCCTAGGAATACACCTCTTGGTTACAAAGAGGATCTGTGGGAAAAGGCAAGAAGGCTTTTTGACCCTCCTGCCCCTGCTGGGTTTTGCCCAGCCACCCCAGCCCCATCTGCAGTGGGAGTTCACCCGTCGGAGCAGGCTAAGCCAGCTCTAATGCTGGACAGACCTCTAGCCCCTGGCTTTAGCAAACTCCCTCCAGAATGATACCCACATGACTGCATCAACCTGATTTTTTATCTGTGGCAGAAAGCCAGTAGCCATAACATAAACAGGGCTTATTACAGATACTTTTACAGTAAAGATTTTTGAGAAAAGAATAGCAGAAAACACTGCTTAAGGAAAGAGCAGCTAAAATGTATCTATTTCCCAATGTGACCCAGCCTGGATTATTTTAAAAGTCAAATGGTGTGATCAACTAAATGCACAATTTATACCTATTCTTATCTCATGATCTCAGAAGAGAAGCTGCTTCTAGGAAATGTCATCAAAATATAATAACTCCCACTGGTAAAACCAGCAGGTGAATCAATAATGTTATGGAGCGGAAATGGAGAACCTTCCAACAGAGAGCTGTGTTATTGTAGTTTACAATCTGACTGATTTGCATTAAATGAAAATGAAGAATTCCATCCTTCTGCTCAAATTGTGATCTTGCAGATAATGCCCCAGGTTGGACAACCACAGGAAAACAGCCCACTGTTTTTAGTAACAACAAATGTGCTGACAGCTGTAATCAAACGTTGAGCAAATTAAAAATCCATTTGCTAAGAAATAAGCACCTTTCCCTTTATTCTATTTGTCCGTTTACTGTTATTTTGTATATGCAAGGTGATGCTGCCATTTCGGTGGGACTGGCAAAAGTCTGTAGAGCTATGTAGTTTCTAGACAACTGGGTATTCACTTCATAATGTTTTTCCACTGAGCATTAGTTTAGATATTGTGAAACCTTTCATCTGCACTTCCTAAGTTCCCAGGAGACAGGGCATTTTCAGCCTCGCAGTACTTAACCCATTATTTCATTTAGGAGTGGAAAAAACCAGCTTGGCTATTTTTAATTTTAAGCATCTCCCCTGCCACACTCTGGTACCTCTAGGCAGCTTCTTTTTTTTTTGGAATATGAAACTTCTTTGCACTTTACAGCTAGCATGGTCATGCAAGTTTGCAGAGTTGAAACATCAAGAGTTATCTCTCCTCTTGGTGCTCATTTTGAGCTCAGGCATGCCTTTCCCTTGGAGTCAATCAAAGCAGAAGCCACCCTCCCATGGCCACCCACAGTGTACCACAGCATGGTAATTCTGATACCCAGCCCTTGCATTTCCTACTGTGATTGACAGACCAACTGCAACTAAAAATGGTTCAGGAAACAAAAATGAACCACTAAGTGCCAGACTGCTAATTAAATTAAATTAAATAAGCCGCTCTTTGGTCTGCTTCAGCATTTTCACAGTAATCTGTGTCACACCAAATCAGTTTGAACTATTTTATCTGCAATAAATGCATTCACGTCAGAGTTTGGACAAGACGTACACAGACATGAACTATTAACTTGGTAAAACAAGTAGCCTTTAAGACATAGTTTAACACTGGATCTGATAACACATACTATAAATTAAAATATTTCTAGTATGAAATGAAAGTATGATGGAGAGCAGAATAAACCCCCCATAATCCAGGTGGAAGCAGTTAACAACCTGCTAGGCCACCTGGACACTCACAAGTCTATGGGGACAGATAGGATCCACCTGAGAGTACTGACGGAGCTGGCGGAGGCGCTCGCCGAGCCACTCTTCATCATCTATCAGCAGTCCTGGTTAACAGGGGAGGTCCCAAAGGACTGGCGGCTTGCCAATGTGACGCCCATCTACAAGAAGGGCCAGAAGGAGGATCCAGGGAACTACAGGCCTGTCAGCCTGGCCTCTGTACTGGGGAAGATTATGGAGTGGTTCATATTGAGTGAGCTCAACAGGCATGTGCAGGTCAACCAGGGAATCAGGCCCAGCCAGCATGGGTTCATGAAAGGCAGGTCGTGCTTGACCAACCAGATCTCCTTCTATGTATGACCTGGTGACCCACCTAGTGGATGAGGGAAAGGCTGTGGATGTCATCTACCTGGACTTCAGTAAGGCCTTTGACACAGTCTCCCACAGCATCCTCCTAGGGAAGCTGGCGGCTCTTGGTGTAGGCAGGTGTACTGTTTGCTGGGTAAAAAACTGGCTGGATGGCCAAGCCCAGAGAGTTGTGGTGAATGGAGGGTTAAATCCACTTGGCGGACAGTCACAAGTGGTATTCCCCAGGGCTCAGTTTTGGGGCCA